GTCCCGCGGGGCTGGGTGAAGCCGGGGTGGGGTGGTCCGGTCCCGCGGGGTGAGTCCGGGAGAAGGTCCCTATCCTGAAGGCAGGGGCCGGGGTCGCCCGCGGCCTGGGGTGCAGTGGTAGCTGCGGTAACGAGCACTTCCGGCGCGTCTGTCACTGAATATAACGAGCTGAGCGCATCTTCTCATTGAACCCTGCGCCTCTCCAAACCTGGGGTGGCGTTCCCTGCGCCTTAAAATAAATACCACCCGCCACCAGGCCTCAAACCCCGGCGGCCCGGGCCTGGCGGACCCCGGCGGTGCTGGGGAGGAACTGGCGGCCCTCCGTCGGTTTGGGTTCCCCTTCCCCGCCAGCGCTCAGCTCCATCAGTGACTGCGCTCACTTACTGTCTGCTTCTCTCTCTTGACTGTGCACATCGGATCAGGGACCGCTTTGGGGTCCTGGAAAAAAACGTAGTGGGTAGTGACCAGTATTTTATAAAAGTAAAACAGACTAAGTTAGAAAATATTAGAGTATTGGTTTGTGAAACAGTTATTTCACTTATACATAGTATTCAGGTACTTGCTTAAGATGTGAATGTATTTCTGTGAGTACTAGGGGCGAAGGGGGAAGCGGAGGCAGAGAACTGACCTACTAAGCAAGGTAGGCGTTCTGACTCCCCTTTTCCAGGATAGCTGAGGGGGGCGGGCTCCTGCCCTTTGTAAACCCTGGTCTCTCCCGCACCCAGCAATATCTAGTAAGAGAACAGTAATGAGCCTGAGAAAAGGGAAACGTCTTCAAAATTTATCTGCCAAAATGCACCTGTATGCTCCAGAATTGCTTCTTGGCTCCTGGAAACTCACTGGTGAGAATGGGGGCAGCCCAGCCACAGAGTGCACGCAGCCCCAGTGAGAGAGAACCGTGGCATGGGGCTCTCCCTCAGCACAGCACAAACTTCCCCAGGGGTGCACCTGTCTGGAGTAGGTGTTGCCCAGTTCTCTGGAGCATCTCACATCCTCCTTCCCCCCACTTTCAGGTCCAGAACATGACTTGCCCAAGGTCAAGGATGCTATGCTTCACACCTCTGGCATCTGAGCCAAAGCCTCTGTGTGTGTTGGGGGTAGGCTGCATTCTTCACTAATAGGAGCTGATTCTGTCTTGGAAAAGGAAGTTGGATCCAGAGCCCCAGAACCAGGGTGGGGTGCAGTTCCTGGAGACTCAGGGAGCTCACAAGGCTCCTGGGTGTGGGTGCAGCCAGGTGGCTTCCTGAGGACATTAGCCACAGAGCAAATACCTAGGCAGGGCAGAGGCTTAAAATAGACATGGCACACAGGCCCCGAACACCCGGCCTGCCATTCACCCTGTGGTGTCCTGCCCAGAGTGCAGGGAAGGGCACTTGCCAAAGGTCTCAGAAGGGGAGCAGTTGGGCTGGGACCTAAACTTGACCCAGGAGCCAATTGATGTGGCCTGTGCTCCAGGCGGGACACACTTGCCAAACACCTCCACCTTAAATAGCTCTTCATGGTGCCCACCCAACCCTGAGTAAAGGGCTGTAGAGTGGTGAGGTGAGAAGCTGAAAGACCCTGGGCAGGTCAGGCTCCCTGCCTCAGTTTCTCCATTTACCAAATGGAGATTATAGCTCACCTGCCTGTCTCACTGTGGATGGGAGGATCCCAGAATACAGTGGCCGTAAAGGGTTTTGAAAGAGGCCAATGGGCCCACACATCAGAGACCCGGTAAGCAGAGGACCACAGAGACAGCTGGTGAGGTTTCTACTGCAACTTTGAGCCACTTATTAAGTGCCTACTGTATGTAGGAGGAGAAGCAATCCCTAAGAAAAGCAGGTGTGCCCTGGCCTGTGTGGCTCAGTAGAGGGTAGCAGGTTGGATTCCCAGTCAAGGGCATGTGCCTAGGTTGCAGATTCACATGCGGGAGGCAACCATTAAATGTGTCTCTCACATCAATGTCTCTCCCTCCCTCCCTCCCTCCCTCCTCTTTCCTTCCACTGTCTCTGGAAGTTAATGGAAATCCTCACTCCTTGGATGAGGATTAAAAGGGGAGAAAAAAAAAAGCAGGTGCGACTGCCCTGGGTGTCATCACCAGTCCAGCTAGACTCAGTCACACAGCCAGTATCCTGCAGCAGGTGACTTAACATACAACTTAAGGAACAATGACCACATGACCATTGTTTTCACAGGTATTGCTTAGTAGGTGCAAAACAGAACAGGTGAAATGATTTTAAAAAATCTTAAAAATAGGTGGTTCAGCCCTGGACAGTATGGCTCAGTTGTTTGGGCATTGTCCTGTGCACCAAAGCTTGCTGGTTCGATTCCGGTCAGGGCACATGCCCCCAGTTGTGGGCTCAAACCCCAGTAGGTGTGCAGGAGGCAGCCAGCCTATCCATGTTCCACTCTTACATCGATGTTTCTCCCCCTCCCTTCCTCTCTCTCTAAAAATCAATAAAATTATTTAAAATAATAATAGTAGGTGGCCCACAGATAAGCAGAAATCAAGGCAGGGCTCTGAATGTAGGGCTGAGCCAGTGAGAGAGGACCTGGCCTGTCCCCTCCTCTCCTTCAGGACCTGCACAGGGAGGGGCAGATGTTCATCACCCTGGGAGCTGGAGCCAAGGAGTGGGAGGGAGC